CTGTTTTGTATAGATCAATCTGCTTCAAATCTGTATTATATTAAGTTTATTCTAATTAGTTTCAGGTAGAGTCTAGAAAATGTATAACAGAGTTATCTTCATATTCTAAATGAACAGATTTCTATGGTTATAAAGAAAAGCACTTTCTCAGGAAAGACTGAAAATGTTACTTCATAATAATAGTGGTTTCACTGCCATCTTGGAGCTCATGAAAGCTGGCTGGGAACAAGACATAAACAGCAACTATGTCTTGAGGGCTGTGGTCCAAGGCTAGGTATAAGGGGGTCTCAGGAGCTAACAGGGGCCTATAGTTCTTCTTAAAACTGAAGGTGTTGGGGCGCCAAAAAAAAAAAAAAAAAAATATATATATATATATATATATATATATGTGTCTTTCGTACTTTGATTCATCCAATTACTGTAAAGTTTCTATTTTGTATGATACACTCTTGGCTTTCTTTCACATTGTTCTGCTCTACCCCTTTTGCAAGAGGAATCAGATAATTTGCAATATCGATTTAGTGCTTTTAAATACTGACAGTAAAAACATCGCTATAACCAGTTAATAGAGTTTTACTGGTTCTCCTTGTTACATAAAACTTTAACCCAGCAGTCAGGGATGGTCAAAGGAACGACTAAGTAGATCATTTCAAAATACAAGTGCCCATCCATAGCTGGCCTTCATTTTACAGTCAGATATAAATCATTAAAACTAGTCTGTGTGGCTTAACTTTAAATTAAAAATGCGAATAACATGGGTTGGTGTTAGGCATTGCTGGATTGCAGGTGTCAAATTCCATTTGCATATGGCAATGAGTTGACTGAAAGATTAATGAGCATTTCGAGAGAGAATATTTCAGCCATGCCAAGTTTCAGTCTATGGCGTAATATAAAGTCATCCTCAAAAATATTTTTAGGGAAGAATTGCCAGATTAGTTCTACAAGAAAATAAGGCCTGAAGACATCCTCGATGTTCTAGTCATGACAGCAGACTCTCCATAATGGGCGCCACGATCAGTGTCTTCCGTATAATAATTCATTCCATTTCCCCAACTGTGAGATAGGTACTCTCCCTTCCATTTTGCAGTGTGGAGCTGAGGCACAGACCTTGCCTGATTTTTGCCTCCTTGAGTGCTGGAGAAGCAGCAGGCAGGTTCTGCTCTAGATTATTGTCTCTGTTTTTGGACGTGGCACAGGGTAGATGCCTTATCTATGGGCATCTTCTGATATGATGGCTTTATGCCTCCTGAACTTAGGCTTCTGGGATGATAGCTACCATCTACCACAGCTTTTTTTTTTTTTTTTTTTTTGAGAGATTTTTTTTTGCTATAGGGTTCATGCTCTTGCCAGAGAGACAAAGAGAGAGAAAGTGAGAAATCACTCCTCCCACCCCCACAGGAGGGATGGCCATGCTGCAATCTCTTCTTCTCCATCCTCTTCTTGGGATTTTGGACATGTACCCCATGTGGCCAGTGTGAGTTTCAACCTGCTGGGTCCAGGACTCAAGCTGCAGTTGGACTTGTGGAAATCCAGTGCCTTAAGCACTATGCCACCTGCTGGCCCCAGAATTTGCAATATCTTATTCACTTCTCATAAACTATAAGGTAAACTGTTGTCTGTTTTCTAAGTCTGTTTCTGTTTTGACCAGAAACTTGTGCAAGTCCTACCACTGGTCTAGAAGTAGACCTACCTGGGCCTACAGTTG